AAATCTTATTAATTTATCAAAGTTAATAATTAATGTGTTAAATATTTAAAAAATTCATATTGTATGACGGCTCCTCCTCTGAAAGCATGGCAAGAACAAAAGAAAGAGTAACATTACATCCTCCGAATTCAGAAATACTGAAAAGAATTTATGTATATGAGGGGGGATATAGCCCCACCACGTGACAAAACCCTGACATCATGTGATGCCCGACACACACAAACTCCACTCAAAGCATCATCATCGTATAAAGGGGTGTGAGCAAAGTCTGTTCAAGCATGCCAAGATGTGAGCACAATAATTTGGATGTGTACCAGTTACGGAAACCATTAGAGTCCCAATCCAGGTTAGGTACTCCCAACAGGCATTTCGGAGTTCAGAATGCAATTTATGAGCCAGAGGAATGGAAATGCAAATTACATTCACATTGCAAGTTAACAAATTAAGCTCCTCTCATTTATCTCTCTTCACCGAAGATGATCATTTCCATGTCAGGAAGCTATATGTATCTTTTGAGTTCTGTTCTGTAGGACTGAAATTTGTTAGAAAGATAAAGGACTACTCACATTTCATTACAAATACCATCGTCCTCAATCCATTATCCTCGCAAAGTGACAGCTTCCCGGCCTTCTACATGAATCACTTGACAAAACGGGAGAAAGGGATCAACATTTTCCATCTGCTGCAAGCAGAATAATTAAAGAAAATCTCAGACTTCTATACTTCAATAATGGAGATATACGATTCCATTTGTTAGAGCAACGCAAAAAAACCCGAGCACAATTGAATAATAGAAAGGATTTCAATTTCATAACAAGACGTGGACACAGACATATAACTCAAGAAAGTGGATATAAAGCCGTAATGTAACTAATCCAACAACCGATATCACACAATAAAGGCTTTGAATAACTGAACAAGATGCAGAAATGTAACTAACCAAACAACCCATATCTCATGATTAGTTGCTTCTCATGATATAATTACAGTTCAAAGTGGTGATCTCATTGATGAGGAAAGAACTCAAAACCCTCATCTTATTCACTTCACACTATGTGAGTCAGATACATCTAACTAACAGATATAAATCTTACACTATAGATTGTAATGGAAAGAAGATAAGCAGTAGTTTTGAGGCACTAATATTGTAATCGGAAGACAGATAACAGAACTCAAGCCACAAGCCCAGGCCATATTTTAATAAAAAAAAGCATTAAGAGAAAAAAAGGGAAAAAACAATATAAGCAGAAATTAAGAAGCAAAGCTTTCACCAACTGTGTAACAAGATAATAGGATGTCCAAACCTAACTAGTCAAACAAACATTTTTCATTCCTTCTTCTTCTTCTCTTTTTTTCTCTATTGGTCATTCACTTTCAAGTGCATTCTCAACACCAAGACAGTAGAAGACACCCGAACACAAACTTGGAAGTCTGTTGGTTGAGGCATAAGACCTTGTCACTTGATTCTATCAGTTGAGCCATTATAGAAAATTGCCCTACAACTCTTTGGAAGTACAAAAGTGAGCAAACTATTTAATTTCTCTGATGATATACCAATCCTCCCCACTTGTAAAAGCTCCATGAGCTTGTCCAACATGACACAATACATATGGCTTAACTAGTATATACTGATGAAAAGGACCCATGCACACTACCATTCAACTTAATTCCACGCAACATCAATAGCTTACATAGCCATTTGTATCATCATTTGTCTCATTATTTTTCTAAAAATCAACAATATGTTTCAACGATTTGAACTGATCACCAAAAAAAAAAAAGTCCCTAATGGGCTAAATAAATGAGATTGTAGCTCTATTAGTTTGCTAGATCAGGTGTAAAAGCTTGTCAAACCCTGTCAGCTCAAAGAAAATAACATGCAACCCGTTTGACTTGAACTTGGAGTATTTGGATTCAGGTGTTATTAGCTATGGCATCTATTATGAGGTGGACTGGCATAGCATCAGGAGGTCACTTTTATTGCAGGTTGATTCGTAATCAATTTAAGGAGTTGGTTTATCATAAAATATTTAGGGCAATTGCATGAACATAATTTATTTCAACACCATACTTTTTACTATTTTTCGTGGAAATCATATTTTCCCAGAAAACACTGCTTGAAATCTAGCTAAATTAGTTAAAACAAGTAAAGATGTTTTGAATATTTTGGTTTCAAAGTATTCAATAGTTTTATATATTCAAAGTAATCCAAAACACAAGCCTCAGACGCCACACTGCCAAAGCAACAGTAATCTCCAACAGACAAGTAAGAAGCTATTTTCTCCCACCATGAAATACTCTACTCTCTCTCCTACTCTTCCTTGCTAAAGCAGAATGGTAAGGTTTATCTAATATTATCTAATTATTTGGACAAAGTAGTTTTCAGCCAAGTTAAGTTCAATTACATAATATGACAGACTTGGGCATCTTGCAGAGAAATATAAGATAATGCCTTAAACATGTCTTTGTTAAGCACAATCAACAAGAAAATTGCTTATAATATTTTGTAACGTAATAACACATGTGTACGCAGTGTGCACAGTTGCTCAATATCAGAATAAAATTGATCACGAAGGAAATAAGAAACAAAATTGCAAGTGTCTTCAAATCATAGAGCATATTAAACCATGTCAAAAGATGAGCTTTAACTTGAACTAGATGAGACCCCGAGTGAGCAGAAACAGACTTCAGATTGTAAATATCTTTGTTCAGCATCAACCAGAGGCATTTCAAATTTATGAAAAACGTGATTGTGGTATGATAAGAATTTTCCAATATTAAAAAGAGGTGCCTCAAAGGTTAATTTCCATCCAAAAATAACAAAGTGTTAATAGATCTATGTGTTATAGAATTTGCATGTTCAGAAGAAGTTCACAAGCAGCGCAACAAAATGAAACACGCAATAAAAAAATGGTTCAGTACAGATGGAAACAATACTTTCCAATAAATGCCACGGAATAAGATTATCAACATGGAAAATACACATTGCAACAAATACATCTAACAGACCTCGGATCCCCTACAGCCAAATACACCATTACCTTCCCAAAATGCAATAACTAAAAAGAGAAAGGAACAACTTGCAATGTAAAAGACAAAGAAGACATGAAGAAATATTACCTTAGTTTAGAAATTCTCTAGAAAAGACACAAACGATAATTTAAATACCTTGCAGAAATAGAAGCAAACACATCACTTCTGCATTTTAATGATTGTTCACCATGCTCCTCAAAGCCCGTCCTCTTTACCCATGCATGTCCAATCCTTTTTTGTGCTTCCTTTAGAGAGAGATAAAATTGGAATAACGTAGGATAAAATTGGAATACCGTAGAATCTCAGAACTCGGATAATTTAATTGATCATGACAAACAATTCTACAAAAATAGAAGCAAAGTTAATGGGCAAAGATACAATAAAATATTAAAATATTTCGAGACACTTTCAACTGTAATCTTCTTAACATGGACAAAGCTGGAAAACCAAAACTTTTTACACAACATATGTTATTGACTAAGCATGTGTTATTAGGAAAAAAAACAAGGTAAAACATACAATTCTACATAGTTTAGTATTATTAAGCACCGAAACACTCAAGATCACAATGAAAAGAAAGAAAAAGGTTGTGAAGTGTTAAGAATAATTTACAAACAATTAGTGTAACAATTTATGGTCCTCAACCTACAAAACCCATCTAAGGGATCAGTTAACCAGAAGACCACAAAAAAGTAAAAGAACAATCAAGGAAAAATTAAAAACCAACAACTTTTTGCCAATTGTATACAGGTGGAAAAAGAGTTTCATGCCAAACAAATGTATATAACTGTATCCCAAATCTTTATTTTGGGGTGCATGCTCAACACCGATGAGACCATATGGAACAGCAGTATATTGCTTCATTGAACCATTGAAGAAACTATCTTTCAACTTCTTAAATGTGCTAGAACTAAGTAATGCGAGGAATTGAAACATATACATGTGAAATAACACAAATGTTCAGAAAAATTTTAAGTGAACATAAAAACTTATTGGAAAGTATCATTTTTCTGAGCAATACATGTGAAACATCAAGATAACAAAAGAGTTACAGATATACATGTGAAATAACACAAATGTTCAGAAAAATTTTGCAAGCAATGCAAGGAATTGAAACATATACAAATATAGTTCGGTATAGATGAAAAACGATACTTTCCAATAAGTTCCACCAGGGCATTGTAATGAACATCAAACCAGAGCTCAAATACCAACAATCGCGTTACAGAATTACCTTCAAATAGATGAGGTAAAGCATAAACAATATTGATGATCGAAAATATCCTATAGAATTCCAAAATGTAATTGTTAAATGAGAAAGTAAAAACTTGATACATAAAACGCCAAGAAACGAAGAAATATTACCTTAGTTTAAAAATACTTTAGAAAAAACAGAGACAGAAAGAGTTCAAATAACTTTAACTTGCACAAACAAACCGTACACAACTTATGCTTTTTAATAATTGTTCCACCTATTGAAAGCAAGCTGACTGTAAATCTCCCGAAAATAACTATCATCCTCCTCAAACCCTATCCTCTTCACACTATGAGATAGTCCATGCCTTCTTGTGAATGCTTCAATAAGATCAGAGAAAGGGAGAGATCCAAAATAGTCATTTTTGCAAGTAGTGTAATTTTGGAATAATGTATCACAACTTGGATGATTCAATAGATCAAGACAAACAGCTACATATAGATAAGAATAAATAGGCAAAGATGAAATAAAATACCCGAAAAGTTTTGAACTCATTTTGAACAGCAATAATCTTAACATGGGCAAAGCTTGAAAACCAAAACTCTATACGCACACAACTTATGTTACAGTAAATATAATTTTTCTAATGTTTGATCTATTTTGCATGTGTTATAACTATAAGGCACATAATTAAGTAAAGAGTTATGTGCTCTTTGGTATGATTAAGTACCAAAATACTGAAGATAAAGGGAAAAACACAAAAAAGAAGAAGTTGTGAAGGGTTAAAACTATTATTGAAACACTAACTGTAATAATTTACAGTACTCAAACTACAACGCCCATCTATGGGATCAGTTACAGAAGATCAGAAAAAGGGAAAAACAATCAAGGAAAAATTCATAAGCGACAACTTTTTGCCAATTGTGTACAGATGGAAATGGGAGTTTCATGCCAATCGAACATACATAACTGTTCCCCAATTATTTATTATCAGATGCATTCTCAACACCAAGACCGTAAAGAACACCGGCATATTTCTCCGCCGAACCATTAAAGAAGCTGTCTTTCAACTTCTTAAATGTGCAAGAAGTAAGCAAACTATCTGAACCTGCTTGATGACAAATACCAATCCTTTCCACTTCCAACAGCTCTGCAAGCTTGCTCAATCCACCATGAAGACTGTTACAAAACTTCATCAAATGCTTGATATCATACACCACTGGGAAATACAGATAGATCAAATCAAAGAACGCCGCTTGAGAATCAGGTAAATTCTGGCAAGTCAATAGCTTAAGCAAGTACCCAAAATCATACCCACTATGAAATGTCACCCAGTGCACGCCATCATTCAAAACAATCCCAGATGACATCAAAAGCTCGCCAAACCGGTTAGCATCAATACCCATCTCACTGTTCTTCTTAAAATCAATACCACATTGCCGCAACAACTCAATCGAGTCATTTGCGAAAATGTCTTCACTGACATTGAATTCGCGAAAATTAAACTGCCAAATGCAATACCCATCAGTCCCACAAGTAGGCAAGTTTCCATTTTCATCTGAAAATGTGAGCCCCAACTGAATTAACTTCAACATATCAACGTTATCCTTCAGAGTCTGATAGTTATAGTCATTGATGTTCTTAAAATTTCCCACTGGTCGAAGAACAACACCAGGAAACTCCGTGTCCATTGCAATATACGGGAAATCATCGACAACTTCCCGGATCAGAGCAAATTCTTCTTCGAGATTGTCATTCCAAACCTCTCGAATCTGAATCGAATCGCTTTTTGACAACATTGACGTTTACTCGCAACAAAAGAATCAATTTTGGGGGAACAAAATGATTGATCCTCTTAATTCAATCAGATCTGTAATGATTCAAATAAAGAAAACCCCAGATTCAATATACACGTTACTATTGAACTGTCTAAACTAATCAGAACCGTAAAACCAGTGCAATCAAACGAAGAAACAGTGTGTGAATGAGATCTGACCTTGAATTAGTGAAATTAAGAGTTGAAATGAACAGATCCTGAGCTTGCGAACTGTGATGCGTTGTTTGGCGAAGAGAATTGAAGATTTAACAGAGATTTCTGATGATCTCGTGGTCAACGTTAGGGCTCGAAGAGGAGCAGAGAGAGGAAGAGAAAGGTAAAGTGGAGAGAGAGAGAGAGAAAGAGAGAGAGAGAGTTGGAGAGATATAGAGAGGGGCGTGAGTCCTATATGACAACTGAGGAAGTGAATGAAAACATCAGACCAGCAGGTGAAACGACGGCGTCTTAGATCTATGGGGCTCAAAACGACGGCGTCTTAGATCTATGGGGCTCAAAACGACGGCGTCTTAGGTCATTCCGTTGTTACTTGTAAGCAGCCAAGATTGACCTGGTAAAATCATTTTCGCTCTGTAAAGAAATCTCACAAAAATCCCTGAGAAGCTTACATAGAAATGGAAAAACCCAAAATTTGTAGGAGATATATGCAATTATATATATTTGTACATATTTTGTATATATATATATATGCAAGTAATGAAAGGGGGATATTTGTGCTGAATTGGGAAATATCCACCCAAGATATTCATATTATATTCTATATGATAAGCATTGACAAATTCATTTCATCTAGTGGTTTTATTTAAACATTTTAATTGTCTCATTTTTTTTCATTAACAGATAATAGTCTCATTTAGTAGGCAAGACTGTTACCATTATTTTAATCACAAAAAAAAAAAAAAAAAAAAATCAAAATTTTTTAGTTCACTAACAATTGATTCAATTATATGAGGATCACATGTGACAAGAAGTAACAACTAAAATTTGATGATTTCTAAATATTTATATTTATTAAATATGTTGCATCCTAGTTGTATTTTATTTACTTTTTAAAGTGAAAATATATTGGTGTGTCCAGTATATCAGATTATCTCAGCTGTCCATATCTGTGCAAAATATGGACGACTGTGGTGTGCTTGAGTTACACAGAACACACTAAATACATGCTCTTAAAGTGAATAGTGAGGGTTTAAATCCCTTAAATGAGTGTGTAATTTTATTCATATTGACAAAGGTTGTTACAAAGTGACATAAAATATTTCTTTGTACCACATGCATTCTTCTACCTATGATTTATCTTAAGGGGTAGTTATTAATTGTTTTTCATATTTTTTTTTTAGGTTGGTTATTTTCAAGACAATTAATACAAATTTTAGAGTAAATATATTTTTATTTTTTGGTGAATGTAATTAGTTAACGTCACTGGAGTCTAATTTTTTTGGATTAAGAAAATGTTAGGTTAAAGATGCTCTTCACGAAATTTGCCTGGACTAAATGCTTGAAAGCATAATTGCTTACCAAATTATCACAAATGATGATAGAAAATCCCTTTCATATCAAATCGAACTCATACTCTTTTAGGATTTCTTATATTCAAATTTCAATGATATATCATTGTCAATAATGAAATTTCTTATTATTTAGATAATTTGACAAACGAAATGTAAAAATGAAGTTGGCAAAAAAGCAAGGCAGAACAAATTTCTAAAGTCATGTCAACTTGAAAGTATTTACAAAATAATAATGATAAAAAAAAAATTTACAAAAAAAAAAAAAAAAAAAAAATGATTAAATATCATCTAACAATAATATATATATATACTCTGTTAAAAACAATAATATACTTTTCACAGGCACAAAATAAGGGATAAAAAACTCATCGGTCTCACGATAAAGAATGTTAATGATATACAAATGTTGGGATATAAGGCCAAACGTCACAGACTCACAATATTTTTGTAACATATATCACTAATTTTTCTCACCGACCGAAACAAATACAGTATCGTGCAAGAGATGTTTTTAATAAAGCATCGTGATTTAATGGGATGATAATTTTTAGCGCTAAATGGTCACCATTTTCATAGAATTATTGGAAAACAACAAGGTGTACTCAAGGAGACAAGTACCCAATACATTGCTTTTGGTCCTTTTTTATCCCTTCTGTGCAACCAACCAACCAACCAACCAACCAAAGGGCTACAGTTTATTATGGTAAAACACTTTACAAGGTACAAAGAGAGATCACAAAGTCAAAGGTAGGAAGAATTTGATTTATGTTTTGTAATGATAATCATCAACAATTTTCAGATTGGGATTAATTGGAAGTTTTCTTTATTTTCTCATGTTTCTTTCCTATATTTTTCTAAGCAACCAAACAAACAATGGAATAATGTAGGAAGAAATTTAGTTTATTATATATCAATAGTTATCATCAAAACCTCTTTTGACCTTATCAGCATCGTCCATCTTTAACTTAAAGTAAAGCTTTAAGATTCAAAAACCATGTCTTTAATACACCTGTCTCTTTCAATCACCCAGCCTTTTTGTATCCCAGTCTCAAATGGAGATAGAAAATGTACTAAAATTGCATCTTTTATGAATATAAAAAAGCCAGTATGATGTTGATCCATGTCAGATGTAGCGATCTAGTAGTCTTAAGAAAAAGAGTGGTGATCCAATGTGGAAGGTACCACAGCTTTAACATAGTTACATTCTATTGTGTCATCCAATGACACTTGCTTTAAAGATAAATTAAACTATTGGTCCAAGCCAATCGACATGTGAGTAAAAAATTAAATAAAATTGGCACATAAAGTTTAATCGAATGCTTACGTGCCAACAGTTCCTTAACATCTCATGGATAAGGGTTGGAGACTTTGCCTATTTATCCAAAACTTTAACCCACGGCACCCTTGATCGTAGTTGAGTTACTTTACCTATTCGATGGCACAACAAACATGGAAGGCTTTGCGTGACACCAAATTAAGAAGTAGGTCATAGTTCTAATATCAACTAACGGGTGAGTGCTTGCCCGTTTACTTAAACTTGAACTATTAGATGGAACTAACATCCAACCCATTTATACATATTTCACTTTCCATCCGAATCCAATCTGGGACAAGTCGCATCTTGTAACAATATGCATCACAACGGTTAGCAAAATATAAATGGCATTGGTTCAATTTTTTGTAAAAACAAATTTTCTATTTGTTTAGAACTAAAAATAAAAAATAAAAAATAAAAAAAATTCCTAGTTGGTACTCACATATATATGCCTCCATTGAGGTTCGAATCTCTTACTTCTCTTTGGGAAGTAGGGGTCTGGTACTGCTAAGTCACTGACCCATTGATTAAAAAAAACAAATTCAAAAAATTGTACAAAAATATGTTTGATAGACAGTTTCTGATAATTATTTGATGAAAACTCAATTAAAAAAAAAAAAAATTGTTTTAGAGAATGTTTAGTTTTTATGTTTTCTACATTATTGAGAACTATTTTTTAAGTCACAAATCAAGCAGACTAAAAATAAAATCGGTTTCATTCATGACTCCACCATGTTCCATCTCATTTTGAGGCTTGTGAAATCGAATTGGTTCGATTTAGATATAAAATCAAAATTTTCGTATTCAACTATTTCATAAAAAATAAAATCAATTCGAATCGATGAGGCCTTTAAACTCAAAATTTGTTGCTGCATTGCAATGGTCAAATGAAGTTCACAAGACTCTCCATAACACACAGCCAACCCACACTATAGATATGGGAAATGGGTTGGGCCACTGGAAAATGCGACGGGACTGGGATGGCGGGCCGAAATTGTTCAAAATCATCTATCGAGAATAAACAATTTTAGTACCAAAAAATAAATTAATTAATTATTCTATAAAAAAAATAAATAAATAACATGTATTTGTTTCTTTTTATTCAAATTTCATGTTTACTTTTGTAAGGGTATCTATGAAAGTTTGAGTGTAAATTTTATTTCTAATGTAGTAAGAGTATATATAATTTAATAAGGGTATAAATGAAAGATTTAGTGAATTAGGATTTAAGTGAACAAAAAAACTCAAAAGTATAAATTATTGGTCCTAAAAGAATTTTTGTAGGACTTATTTTCACTCAATAGAAAAAAAAAAGGATTTATGATAATTTTCCCTAAAAAAGTTTGTAAGAAAGCAACGTCCCACAACTTAATTGAAAGCAATAGGCTAATAGCCACAAAAGAAATTCCTTTAACATGAAAACATCCATCAAATAATGAATAAACCATTGAAATAATTAATATATATATTAAGACTTGGAACAGAGGCATGCTTTTTATCAATATTATTTTATACAGTTATAAATATTAAAATTATTAAAAGTTTCACATTAATTGTTTATGTATGTATATGTGTGTATTCTTATTGATAAATGTGTATATAATTACATGTCAAGCATATATATGTTGAGAAAAGGAAAAGCCATAGAAATTATTTTGTTCTTTAACATCTCTTATTGATATTGAGGAATGAACCATAACTAAAATTAAAATAAATAAAAGATGTAGATGTATAAATAACCTCAATATTAATAAAGTACGGATATTTTTGGATTCATGCTCCCATCATCATCTATTCTCCACGGTTGAAATCAATTTTTTAATAAATATTTATTTTCACTAATAGGAATGAAGTTAACAAATAGAATTACAATTAAAAAAAAAAGGTTAGCAATAACCTTAATATTAAAAATAAAAAATATTGAGAAATTAGGAAAGAGAACTTACATAATGTGTGTGTGATCTGATGTGCGCAATCCTATTGTAAGCAAGCGAAGTGGACCAATTATATGAAAACTGGTATTACATACATGCGCATGAGGGTATTCAGAGGTGATTTTAATTCATATGATAGAAACCATTTCACCATGCATGTATGTAAAATAAGTCAACATATATTTTTTTATTAGGTTTAACAATCTTTCATGGGTAAATATTTTAAAACAACGCCAAAATAGAAATTGCAATGATGATATTCAAAGGTGATTTTAAGGAAAAAGACTCGATATGACCTTTCTCCAAAACAAATTACTTATCAAGAAATCAGATGTTGAAATGGTAAAAAAACATGCAAACATTATGATCCATTTGACATACGTTTTGTTATTATTATAAGTGTTTTGATTTTGCATTTTGAATTCGTATCACGTTTGGGGTAGGCTAATATGGTATTGAACAATGTGAAAATAAGTTGAAATTATTGACCCAAACCCTTGTCACCAATTAACGTGATGAGATGCTTTAAGTGTTTTAAAATGCCATATTATGTAGGTTATTGCTGGGTGGTTTCAGGTAACTTTGGCTCCATTGTTGCAGGAGATGGAATAGTTTCATTAGGGTACAATACAATGTGTAGAGTATTAGGTCACAAAAACTTACACAGACTAAGCTTTCTAAAGATGAATAAATTGACTCTGGTAACCTTTTTTGTACCATGGAAGATGTCCTCTTGACAGTTTTCCAGCTGTGTAGTTAACTAATCTCGATTCTCTATCAGTTATATGATTATTATAAATAAAAAACAAATAAGATATTTAAATTTAAAAGGGTGAGAAGACGACTGAACAATTTCCATATATGTATTTTTATCCCTCTTGAGAGCATTTACAACCTTTGCGTATACATATATATTTTTGTGTAAATCTGATGTGTCATAATAGATTTACGCATAAATTTTGGATTATTTATTTTTAACTTTAGTGGTTGTTTTATATATTTTGTGTAAAAATATATACCTCAATAACAATTAACATCATGCAAGTGCCCCACATAATTTTTATAAATTTACTTAATATAGGGTTGATTTGTTAATGGAATGAGAATGAGGGATAAAAAATGAAATATGCTGATTTGGCTGTATAAAAAAGTTGTGTAAAATACACAATTTTATATATTGATAACATGGTAGTGTATCTTAATAGTCTAGAGATAAAAAAATTGAGATAAAAAAATTAAAAAAATTACACATAATACGTAATAGTGTATATTTTACAAAAAAAAAAGTATTTTAACAGAATGCTAAGAGCATCTTGGTTTGTTAAAATATTTTTTTGTGTAAAATATACACTGCCACCTATAATGTGTAAATTTTTTCCATCTCCAACAGTGTGTTAAGATACATCGCCATATCACCAATGTGTAAAAAGGTTGTTTATTTTACACAATATTTTTATACTGCCAGATCAACATATTTCCTTTCTCAACTCTCTTTCTCGTTCCATTAAAAAATCAACCATATATTAATTAGGTTTGTAAAAATTATGTGGGGTTCACACATGGTTGATTGTTATTGGGAGATATATTGGTATAAAATAACTGTTGGAGCTAAAATTAAATAATCAAATATTTTGTGTAAATTTATCATGACATATCAAATTTACACAAAAATATATATATACACACAACTATTGGAGATGCTTTAACGATATAAACAGTATAACCACAATAAAAAATAGGAGTCACTATAATGATTTTCAAATCACAAAATCCAAGACAATGGACAAAGGGTTGAATTCGATAATTATCCAATTTGATTGTTAAATTATTATGTGAAAAAAAGAAAGAAAGGGATTTTAACTCATAAGGTTGAATATTAAGACCGATTTGATTGAAGAATGTGGTGTCATGAATTGAAGGGGCTTATTGCTGACTTTTTTTATTATTGTTATTATTAATTTTGTGAGCGCTCTATACCTCACAAGTGTGACTAAATCCGGTGATTTATGGTTATGGCTGCAACTTGGGTGGATTAACCCAGCTCAGCCCAATGCCAATCCAGGAATTTTGAAATTTAGACATGCAATTCACAAATCGGGCTCATATTTAGGTTGGGTTTTGTCAAAACCAGACATATTCGGGTTAGGCTCGGGCTCAACCCGAACCCAACCCAAAACCCAAAATTAATTAATTATTATTATTATTATTTTTTCTTTGTCTTTCTCTCTCCGCCGCCGCCGTCCCTCGCCCTCAGCCGCCGATCCGTCGCTGATCCACCGCCGCCGCCTCTGCCGCCAAATGGTGTATAAATATATAAACTCACACACACAAACATATATACACACACATTTATATTAATATGCAAACATATATATAGAGAGATAAATCCACCATAAGATGTTCCCACCGGCGCCCTTTCGTGATCCAGCATGATGATTACACATACACTTTGCCTACGACAATCCTCACTTAAGGGGTAAAAATAAAACCCCAAAATGTCAACACAAAACTAGAAGGCGTGAACAAAATAGTCCCTAGAAGGAGATATGGGTTTTGATTTTTGGAACAATCTGAAATGATATGCCGATATGGGTTTTGATATAGGTAATAGGTTTTGAACTTTTGATTCTTGCAGACAGATAGATAAACTGAAATATATGGGTTTTGAACTTCTGATTCTTGTTGATTTTGTAGTTTGCAATTACAGAGAGAGAGAGAGAGAGAGAGAGAGAGAGGGGGCAATTTGAGAGGTGAGAACGAGAATAAAGATGGAGGCGACTGAGCTGAAATGATTTGCCCTTAAAATATATATATATTTTAATAATAATATAATCAAATATATATATATATATATATAAATTTTTTTTAAAAAAACTCAACCCATCAACCCGACCTAATCCTCCCGAAAATATTCGATAAATATTCGATTCAGATTATAACCACATCCCATGTTGAATACAATTTGTGTTGGCCCAACCCAACCTAATTCGGATTGAGGTTGGGTTGAGGCCGGGCTGGGTTGGGCCAGCCCAACCCAATTGAGATAAACAATCAATGAATGGGCCTCTCAAATCCTCTGGACTAGAGATGGCTTTCCCCACTGTTGAAAGTTACCCAAAAAAAAAGATATTATTGTAATTTCATAAAATTTTGTCAATAAATTAATTATTTCCTAATATTTTGTAAAATCTAACCCAATGGTATATAAGTTCAACCAAAGAAAGTTTTTGTTTTGGGTAGGTCTCTTCTCCAACCCTGTGACAATGTATCACAAAACCCTATATAAGTCTTTCTTCTTCTTCTCCTTCTTCCCAAAACCCTACATTTCTACTACAAAAACCGCAGAATATATACAAAGTAACCCTAATATTCTTCCATGGCTTTCAAAATTGCCAAGTTTGCTTATTCTGCCATTAATCCTTCCAAGACCTTGTCAATTTCACCCTATTCTCTCTGTCATTTTCGGTTCTCCTCGTATTATTCATCTTCTTCAGATTCATCTTCCTCGGATTCATGTGTTTCAGATTCATGTTCTTCGGATTCCTATTGTAAGCAATGAATTATTTGGATTTGGTATTCCTAATAGAATTGAAGTTATTATTGTTTTATCGGGCATGTTCGGAACTAATTAAATACGTTCGGTTTTTTTTTATTAAGCTCACCATATATTTGTTGTTTAATTTTGTGCGATGTGTAGGTGATAAAGATAGTGAGCTACTCAAAAGATTTGGTACTGACTTGACTGAACTCGCTAAAAATGGCGAGCTCGATCCGGTTATTGGTAGAGATTATCAAATTCGACGTTGTATGCGAATATTATCGAGGAGAATGAAAAATAACCCTCTTCTTATTGGCGAGGCTGGGGTTGGAAAGACTGCAATTGCTGAAGGGTATGTAACTTTCTTATCCTTATTGTTAATGTTTGAGTTAAATATACAAACTTCAATTTGTTTGACTTAAATTTTTATTTTTTTTTCCCTATAAAAAAAATTGAGTGATGCACATCTTTTAATTTGAAATGCCTTTGTTAACTTAACATTTATTTACCAAATGGTTTTATTTTTATAGAATAAATTGGCCTTAATTGAAATGAAATCAAATTACTCAAATTAAAGTCAAATGAACATGAAATGCGAGAGATGGTCACTATTGGGTCTCCATCTAGTTCTTTGCATTTGGCTCTCCAAATCAAAGAAGACGAAGAAGGAACAGAAGATTTGATATACCGCATCATATATATATATATATATATATATATATAGTGATAAGGCATTGACAAATTAGCAGAATCATTTGAAATTGATCAAATTTGACGTTGTAAGACTTCTATATTATCCAATTATACAAGTATTCAATTTTATTTATGAAAATAGTAGATTTAATCTGATATGTGGATTGATTTTTTAGTCCCACAATTTGGTGACAAATTGATAAATAAGAAATTTGTAGACCATAAATTGATTAAGAAATTTGGAGTCCATAAGTTGATTAGTGAATTGAGGTTTTAAAAAACTGATATGTTAATCCACCCCATCCGTTCAAATTTATAAAACTTTTATAAATACATATATAATGTACACTATTTCTATTATTATTATTATTATTGTAAGTTTTACTACCTTTTAATCTCAAAGACCTACTTTAATCTTCTTCTTCTTTTTTCTAAATTACTTTAATCTTCATTTCACTTTAACGGTTTTAGCTTTTTAATATTTTTTTTTTTTTGTTATTTAAATTGTTAGAAGTGGTGGGCTGTCCTCATAACAAACCTTTCTAATAACAAACCACTGAATATTTTTAGTGAAAAAAATTCTTAATTTTGATATACTATAATCAAATGAATATCTTCTCCGGCGGCTTCCTCCGTAGTTTCAACGTCAAATGGTGTCTTCTACTCCGGTGAGTGGATCTTTCTGTCTCTGTTCTTTATTGTCTCTCGCTTACTGTCTCTGTTCTTTTCATCACCGAGAGAGTGACACACAACAACGCTATTTGTCTTCACTCTGTTCATCTTTCCCCTCTTTCTGGGTTCATCACAGTTCGCTGTTCATCACCACTCTGACTCTCTCTCTCTCTATCACAATAATTTAGTGTGTCTTCACTGTTTTGAGTAACTGATAAACTAAACCCTAGACTGTTTTTGAAATGTCTGTAATGGGACAAGGTACTGGGTGAGCTGGGGATAACACTGTCATTGGTATGTCCACTCAATAAAAGTGCCCCATTTCAATTTGTTGAGAGTAACATTTTTGTTTTTTTATTTATATAAAATAAAACTAAGTGCATTTTCATTGTATGGATATACCAATGTTGTGATGCCAAGTTCATCCAATATCTACTCCTGCAATATTAAAGTAATTTCATCCTAAAATTCGGATGTCCCTGGTTCACAGGGAGGTAATTTGCTAATTGTAAGATTTAAAAAAAAAAATTGAGCGGAGTGTAATTAGACCGAACACATCAGGCGAAACTAGTGAATTTAACCCCCAATGCCTATTTCCTGTTAATACTGTCAAGAACAGATTCATGTGATGCTTCTTTTAGAAATTATAATCACTTAGGGGCCATTTTCTAGTTGAGTGTTAAAATACTTTGTGAACTCAGGTTTGAATCCTGATAGTAGCGACCTTGTGAAAATCAGTTACTAATGTTAGGAAGTTTGCCTCTCTCTGCAACATTGATTAAGGGAACCACACTGGGTGATGACCCTTTTAAAGAAAATTGTAATCATTTACCCAAACGTGAAGTAGAGTTTGTAATTTGAAAAATAGTGTATTCTGTAAATACTACTGGTAGGATTTTTTTTTTGTTCTACAGAATTTGGAGGCCTAATTTTCACTATTGGGATGCCCTTGCCTCTCAAATATATATATATATATATATATATATATATATATATATATATATATATATATCATTAAATACATATAAAGACGAGAAAAGGAACACGAGTCTTGCATAATCTGTAGGTTACATCTGTTAGTAATACTGGGAGGACTAAAACTAGCTTAAGCAAGAAACTTTCTTTTGTAATGATGCCATCACTCTGCCTTTGCATGCTTGGTGTCATCCTTTTCTCTGATGATAGAAAATTTGGACTTGTGCAAGTTTCATGTATTATCCTCTGACATGTCTTGTCTTAAGCTTAAAACAGTGAGGATGGTTGCTTTTGGTAGTTACCCGTCGCCACAAAATCTGTTGTCCGAATCTTTGAGAATATAATGTAAATTTTAGGACTTGTTGTAGATGTCTTTCTTAATCTGAACCAAAGTGCGGGAAATGGATTAGCTAGAGAATTAACTAGACCCATCTATTGACTGCAGAAACATCAATTTATTTAATGTATGTGAATTAGTTATTGTCCATGCTGGTAAAATTTTTTTTGAAAATTCCTGCCAATATTTTATTTTTTTTTTTTATTTTTTTTTTTCTTTCAATAGCTTTCCAATTAGTATTCCAAATTATGTGATTTTTTATATTTTGGTTCAAACTTTGAGTTACTTTGCAGGATAGCTCAGCGAATTGTGAGTGGGGATGTTCCAGAACCTCTATTGAACCGACAGGTTGTTGGCATTTTATACTTATTCTAATTTTCTTTTTAGTTGAAAGTTTTTACTTATTTTATTCAAATGTGTTAAAGATATCTTGTTTGTTATGATTATTTGTTGTCTGGTTCTGGTATGTATGTTAGTGTCTATTTTTCTTGCAGTGGCTCAATTTTGTCTTCCTTGGATGTGGTAGTTTAATGGCATGATGACCAAACAAATATATGAACTACGTGATACTTTGTCATGATATTTCAAGATCTAGAAAAATAGTTTAAATTTGACAAAATTATGCTAAGAAAATTCAAAATTGAAGGAATCACAAAATATATGAACTTCAATAAAATGTAGGTTTTTTTGCGTATTACTCAAAACTAGATTCTTTAAAGGTGGATAATGTAGTGCAATTTAGATTGAAAGAAATTAAGAGTGAATAAAATAATAATAGATTGAAGATAGAAATTAAGAGTGAAACAACAAAATTATATACGTGGTTCGGCCTATAGTTTATATCCATGGCACATAAAGCCCAATGGTTTACATCACTTTTATTATATCCCCTCTTAGTTTTTTGTTTACAAAAACCACCTCTATTTGTAGGTGAAAGAATACAAGTGATAAATATGAAAAACACATCGATGGAGGATTCATAAAATCAATCCTTAAATCAGCGCTATTAAGGCTTAAATTACACCTATGAATATACCCTCCCAACACCCCTCCAACTTGAAGCTAAATACGAAGTTGTCAAGAGTCCGAGACGAGTAGATCCAAAGGTCCGAGATGAGTTGATCCGGATTACAAAATTCAAGCGAAACAGAGGAGAGTCAAACGAGCTAGAGTAGGGTATGATATAAACCTGCTATGATACCGTGTTGATAAATAAAATAAAAATTGAGGAGAGAATTTAATAATGAAACAACACAAGGATATACGGTGGTTTAGCCACTACGGGCTACATCACTTTTATTATATTGTCTCTTAGTTTTTTGTTTGTTTACAATGACCACCTCTATTTTTAGGTGAAATAATACAAGTGATAAATATGGAAAACACATTGATGGACAATTCCTAAAGTCAATCCCATAAATCACTCCTATCAATGTTTTATCAAGGGTTAAATCATTCCTTATCAATATACTCTCCCAACAGTTTCGATTGGCAAATATGGATTGTAACCAACAACTTTCAACTAATAATACTAATGCTATAAGGAGAATTTTTGTAATATTTTATCAGAATATTTAACTATTTTTGTCATCCTTGTAATAATTGTTTGCATTCTGTCTTGTACTTTGCAGGTGATCTCATTGAATGTATTTTCACTAGTGGCTGGAACTAAATATGTTGGAATGTTGGAGAAAAAAATGGAAAAAATTCTGAAGGAAGTTTCTGATGCAAAAGGGAAAATAGTTTTATTCATTGATGAGATCCACACTATGGTTGGTGCAGGTGTGTCTTCTACTTAGAATCATCTAATAGCAGTTATAATTAGAAGGCCATTACTTAGTGTTGTCCCTATAATCAAGGTTGCTTGAAGGAATGCACTGAGTAGAAACCTACACATTATTTGCAAAAATGGCTTTCCTCGTGCTTGAACCCACATCCTCATGCTTGGCAGCCTAAATTTTTTTAACTACATCAAGCAATGACTCCCCACATAGAAACTGTAGCGCAATTGTGAAAATTCTCTTCCTTGATGCTTTTCTTTCTTAATTTTTTATTCTAATGCATTATATGAGTTAATGGTCAGAACCATAATACAGGTGTGAATATTCTTGATAGGGTGAAGAAGATATATTTTGTAAGCTCGTGATTGTTACATGTTTACTTTAGAAACTTAATAGTATGACCTAGTGGTGCATTTGGTAGGCTGTATGCATCTTATAGTGTAAATCACGGTTTCTTGTTATTTTGGTATAGCACTTCATTTCTAGAAACTCAAAATTTTCATCTATAAATTAGTTCTCGTTGGAGGAAAAAATGGCAATCAATTGGCAGATTTGAGCAAATGCTTTGAATTAATTAAATCAAAGTATACTTATATAAATTATAAAATTTCTTAATCAAATTATGCTTTCACCCTGTTACATTACTTATCCATTCCGAAGATTCTACCCATTAATTAGTAACTAATTTTGTTGGGGTTAATATATGATTTTATTCATTTGTGGCTGGAAGATTTTGTTACATGAAGAGTTGGAGGGATAAGAAAGTATGTTTCTTGGCCGAGGTATTGTGAATTGCATCAACTTTCTTTCAAACTCGTTCATTTATATTTATATATTTTATAATTTTGAATATATTATCTGTTTTGGCCTTGTTCTTACTTTACCCTTTCTTTTTATTGTTTTAAATACTTTTTTTTTTTTTTCCTTTTTTTTTTCACATTCTTCCATTTTTAATAAGTTCCATTTAGCTAATAAAAATCAAATTATAAGTATTTAGACTTTTGCACATTTCTAGTTAGTCAGGTGAAGAAGTAAAATCAATTTTGCATCTGTCATAATAGATTAAGAGAAGAAGTCAACAATGCATCTGTCTAGAGGAAAAAATGTTGACACACAACCTGCTCAATCTAAGCAAGAAATGTCACAAAAACAACCTGCTAAATCTAAGCAAGAAACCTCACTAAAGTAATTTATAGGAAACCTCTCCATTCTTGTACCATTAATTTCCCGAGCTATATTTCTGCAAATTGTGCAGTAAACTTATCTTTGATGTAAAGGTTTATTTTTCATAATTTGATCCTTATTTTGGGTATCTTTTGTGAAATGAAATTTGAACAAACATAAATATATAAGAAGACTATATATCATGTTAATGAGGACCTTGTTTCAAGAAGTCTGTTGCCTGGCACCTTACCACTTGACCCCCTTTCTCATTACAAACCCTTCTTTCATCTACTAATCTTATTGCTGGGTCCTGTTTGTGGGATTGGGAAATATAAATATCGCCCACTCTTAAAGCATCTTCTTTGTTATATTATGTGGTATTTTCTTTCCCATTAGATGGATCTATATACATTTATATATCTATATGTATATATATATTTCAAATGAACAGCTTGAAAACTTGTTGATTCTAACAACTGATTTCCAGATCTTATGAACTCTTGAATTCATAGAAGTAGGTCTCCAACTTATAAATGGGCATGTCCTAAACTCAAAAGAAAGAAGGGAAACTCTTGTGACGAAAAGAGATGTAACTTGAACAAGAAGAGAAGAGAATAATTTGGACAAAAGAAATGAAATGGCTTATACAAATCTGTTTCTCCAGTAACCTCATAACCATCAAGCAAAACTGATGGAATTATCTTACATAAATCTTTTCTAAGTGTTAGGAAATTGATTGCATCAAGTTTTGACAATTAAGAAGAGGAATTAACTATTTAGCAGTTTTATGGATGGATAAAAAGGCCACTATCCATTGTTGGTTTGTCGCTGTGGGGATCTGCGAGGAAAGACCGGACCCAGACCTAACTTTTGGTAGTTATTTTGCTCAAAGTGGCTTTTTATATACTCAGACCAGTATATCACGCTTGTCAGTCTGAACTTTCACCATTTCACTAAGTAATCACCATGCGTTTTATGTATTGATAGTAAGTTTATGTCATGTCATGTGTGAATGTGCTCACCTTGGTGTCCTTTTTTGTTCTATTTCAAATATTTGTTGAATTGGTGGTAATTTTAGTCCTAATTAATTTGTAGGTTCTGCTGAGGATAGCAACCTTGATGTTGCAAACATTTTGAAACCAGCACTAGGCCGAGGTAAGCTTCAATGCATAGGAGCGACCACCTTAAAAGAGTACAGTAGGTATATGAAAAAGGACTCTGCTCTTGAACGTAGATTCCAGCAAGTGTTCTGTGATCAGCCTTCTGTACAAGACACAATCTCCATTCTTCAGGGATTGCGCAAGCGCTATGAGTTGCATTATGGTGTTAAAATATCAGACAAGGCCCTAGTTTCAGCAGCAGTACTTGCAGACCGGTATATCATGGATCGTTTTTTGCCTGATAAAGGTATCTTTTGGTTTAATAATTCCCATTTTTTTTTTCAATTTGGCATGAGTACACTAAAAGCAAGTAATCTTCATTTATGCTTGTAAACTAACTTCTAGTGACGATTTCATGTTCTCTATTGTTGTTCCTATTTAATACGGAGTACTCTTTTGCAATTATGAGATGCTTCATGGCTCTTAGTTGCACTAGATTTATTTATGGGATGAAAACTCCCTTATACAGATGAACACTTGCTATAATAATTTGGACACTTACCACACTCTGCTAAATCTCTGTCTCTGTTTTTTCAGCCATTGATCTTGTTGATGAAGCTGCTGCAAAGCTGAAAATGGAGACCACTGCAAAGTCTACGGAATGGGAAGAACTTAAAAAAATGTTGCAGAGTGAGAAGGATCTCATTACTAAAATTGGTTCAACTAAAAACGAGGTAATTTTTTCCTTGTGTAGAATCTCCAAAGCTAATTAAACTCACATTTCTTTTCTTCCCATCTCTGACATATATTTTTTAAATCATTTAATAGATTGATAGGGTTAAGAAAGAGACAGAATCCCTGAATAATGCTGCTGCGTCACTTCAGAAGCAGCTGGAAGAAGCTGAGAAGAACTTTGAGGACTTACAAAAGTCCAAAAGCTGTTTGGTCTGCGAAGAAGTATCTGACCATAATATTAAAGAGGTTTTAGTTGAATGCACTGGTATACCATTATCAGACATTTCAGAGTCAGACATGGAGAAGTTGGTCATAATAGAAGAGATTCTACATCAAAGGGTTATTGGTCAAGAAGTTGCAGTAAAATCAGTTGCTGATGCTATTCGATGTTCAAGGGCTGGAATGTCTGATCCGAAAAAACCAATAGCGAGTTTCATGTTCATTGGCCCTACTGGTGTTGGTAAGACTGAGCTTGCCAATACCTTAGCTAGTTACCTCTTTAACACAGAAACAGCACTTGTGAGAATCGACATGAGTGAGTATATGGAAAGTGATTCTGTTTCCCGCTTAATTGGTGCATCTCCTGGTTTTGATTGTCCTCAGGAGGGACAGCTTACTGAAGCAGTTCTCCACAGACCTTATTCTGTTATTCTATTCGACGAGATTGAGAAAGCACATCCTGATGTGCTCAATATCTTGTTACAGCTTTTGGGTGATGGAAGGGTAACTGATTCAAGCGGTAGGACTGTCAACTTTAAAAATTGTATGGTGATAATGACATCGAATATTGGGTCCGAAAATATCCTAAGAATTTTTGAAAATAGCAAGGATGACAGCAAGGAATCAATATATGATACAATGAAAAGGCAGACTATGCAGTTGGCTAGAGAAGCATTTAGGGATGACTTCATGAATCGTGTTGATGAGTTTATTATTTTCCATCCTCTGAACTGCGACGAAATTGGTAGAATTGCCGAAATACAGGTAACTTCTCTTCTAAAGTATTTTTCATTTTCACTCACTTTAGTCCACATCATTTTGTTTCATTACATGTTTCTCTAATCAATCTGCTTTGAGGCATTAATCTCCTTGAGTTAAGTCGAGCCTTTTAAGGGGTCCATATTGTGAAACTAAATCCGTTGATGCCTTGTGTCAAAGTGTTCAAGTATTACCTTAGATCGCTACATGGTTATAATCTTACACTTTATTTGATATTGTCTTTTACTTTTTTTGATGCATTAGGAGAGTTGAGCCTCGAAAGTATAGGTTGAGATACCAACATCACTGGGGCCTACTAGGCCGTTGGTACTTGTATTGTATATGACATTGTTATTGTTGCTTCAATAATGAATCTACTGCATGCATGTTTCTTCAATCTACTATCTTCCCATATGTGATGTTGAGCGTTCAAGTCCCCTACATAATTGTTATCGGTTGATGCTAAAACCAGTTAATTATTCTGATCAGCTCACCACTACTTGGTCAAAATCCACGCCCGTGTATTTTAATTATTTAAAATGACTAGGGTTACTAACATCGATACTAATTATGTGTTTCAGTTGAACTCCTTGAAAGATAGACTTAAAGAGAAGAAAATTGATCTCCGCTACACAAAGGAAGCTATTGATGTTATAGCAAAATTGGGATTTGACCCGGATTTCGGAGCCAGGCCTGTGAAAAGGGTGATACAACACATGGTTGCGAAAGAAATTGCAATGAGGGTATTCAGATGTGATTTTAAGGAAGAAGACTCGATTCTTATTGATGCTGACATGTCCCCATTAGCCAATGACCTTCCTCCCAATAACAGATTGCTTATCAAGAAATTGGATGTTGGAATGGTAGGACAACATGCAGTGAGATGTCTCTAGTGTTTTTAAATGCTACGTTATTTATGTAGGCTTTTGCTTTCAGGTAACTTTGGCGGGAAAATTATCTAGTTATATTTTTGTACCTTAATGACAATTAAGTCCTGTAAAAAATTTATTAGGACAAATGAGTCCTACTTTTGAGATCTATTTCTAATAAAGTTCTATAAAAGTTATAAAACTTGTTTTACCCTTTTCATTCATTAGTTGGGGACTTCTTCCTTTTTGATTATCGTACATCAGTAATGAGAAACATAAATGGAACGAGGCAATTCATAAACTGCTATATAGGTGGGAGGCTCATCTAATCTTTTTTTTTTTTTCAATATTTGTTTGATCTAATACTTGATAATAATAATATACTTAGCAACAACATATATAATTTTACCGAAAAAAAAAAAACATATAATCATTTTTCTTAAGTTTCCTTTCTCTAACACTAATAAATAGTTCTGCCTAAAAAAATATTATGAAGTCTTATTTTAAATATAAATATTATAAATAAATATTAAATAATTATATTATTAAATTTAATAATCCATCATTTTACTTTTTTTTTTTTTTTTTTACTATAAATGGATATAATAAAACACAAATTTATTTATTCATTTAGCACTTGAAATTATAAGGGTAGTTTTGGTATGTATAATCATTTTCTCTTTACTTTTATTCTATCCAAACTAACTAATTAATATTTTCCCATTATTTTTTTGAATAAATTTTCATGCTAATCAAATGCATGCTAGAAAATGGCCCAGCGGTATCACCCCTAATTGCTTTAACTTTCAACAAAAAAAAAATAATAATAAATAAAAAAAATGAAAAAAAAATAAAAAATTCTTTTCATTCATTTCACTTTCTTTTCGATCATTTTCTATTTCTTTTATTTTCTTACTTATTCCATCTAACAAAACGGAGCCTAAACCTTTTCAATGAATGTTCTGGTGTGATGGGATGAGAAATTATTAAACGGTCTCGGCCAATTACACTTGATACATTAGTAGATGCGTAAGCTTTATTTAGTTTTTTTCCTGATGTGTCAAGTATTGCTTCGCCGGGATCATGTAATAATTTCTCGGTGTCGGGAATCCCAACAGTTTCGGGCTGGGAATCCACAATGTCTATCTCCCAGAATATAATAGTCTTTTCATCCACCATAGCAGCACTACACACCAATGGATCTAACGAACTTGCACTGTGCAATACTCTCCCCGACTCAAATGTGCACCTATACTAATAAAATAATGAACCTGACTCGATCTGAACCACTTGGTTCGGACCATTGGCTACAACTCACTTGGGTTCAAGTGGTTTGTAGGGAGAGAGGAGATAGAATTTTAAAATCGGTAATTCAAAAGTTTTCTGAGTGTAAATATTCAATTAAGTTTTCTGAGTGTAAATATTCAATTGGGGATTGTGGATTTTTACAAATTAAATGGTGTCTTTTGTGATTGTGTGTATCACTTCAATTGCATCTTTTTTGCCTTACAGTAATTATCCCACGCAACCATTCACTCAATGCACCAGATTGGTCTAATGACCAATCTAAATGACCCAAGACGGACGGAGGGGTGGGCGAGGGGGGCCATGGCCCCAAACATGCTCTTAATTTTTTATTTCATATTATTCCCCCCACCCCACCCCACCCCACCGATTTTATATTTCTAGGTCCATCCCTCATTAGTGACCAGTTGCATATTAACCGAATACCTGATCATTCTTGTATTAACCAAATACCTATCTTCTAATAGTTCTTCTCTAAATATCTCCGTCTCTTCTGTTCTTTAAAACATTCCCTGTAGCTAAGATAATGGAAGGTGACCTATGCAGTAGAGAGTGAAAGGGACTCGTAGAGTAATTACACACGTAATGTCAGGTGATGGCAAGGTTACCCTTAAGCCCCATCACATTCTAGAGAAGATGCTATGGTATCGACTGTATTTTCTATTAGAGGATACATTAAAGGACGGATGGAATTTCCTATCAGCGTTAAAAGACATATATGATATTACCCTTCATAAGAGGAAGAATATTGTGGTGCTCACAACACGTCTTAGGCATGTAAAATCCAATCACCAAGCTACCATCAACATTGAGTTTCCTTAAGGGTGATTATAACAGGAAGATTTACCATTGTGGAAAGTTATTGCAACAGATCCTCTCTAAGGAAAGTTCTCTCCAAGCATCTACACGTATTAATTCTACGACTATTAATGTGCTACATTAACAACTTAACATTAAAACACGACACTTTCTTACTATTATGAAACTTTCATTTTCTATTAATAAATTCTAGGAAATTAGTATTATCCAAATTTGATATTTTTACATAAACCCTTAAAATAACTTTCTTACCGTTCTTAAACTTTCTTTTTCGATTTTCTCTACCATCAACAATCTTTGATTTTTACAATGGAAGATTTGCAAGATTAATCAAACATATATTTTTATTCACAAATTCTAAAAAAAATAGTATTGCTCAAATTTGAGATTTCTACATAAACCCTTAAAATAATTTTCTTACTCTGAAACTTTCTTTTTCAATTTTCTTTACCATCAACAATCTTTGATTGTTACAATTGAAGATTTGCAAGATTAATCTAACTTATATTTCTATTCACAAATTCTAGAAAAATTAGTATTGTCCAAATTTGAGATTTCTACATAAACCCTTGAAATAATTCCAATTTCTAAAGATCCATGCTATGTGAGATTGATAAAAGGATTGACCGGTTTTGAGAGAAGAATTCAATTATAGGAAGGAAACTGATCCCTAATAGGAAAATTGGTTGGAAAAGTGTAAGGGATTGATGTGCTTTAATCCAAATGTATTTAGTAGTAAAATAAGTTATTGATGTGGCGTCTTAGTAACTGTAGGATTAATACCTGTAGATGCTTGGAGATGACTTTCCTTGGAGAGGATCCGTTCCTGAGCTATTCACCGTTTATGTAAACTAATACACAGTACAGGGTTGGTTCTCATGGTTATGTTCATTTTGGCCTTGAACAATTCATGACAAGTTTTTTTTTTTTTGGTCTTAGGGCATGTGTATCGGCCCCAGAGAACATACATCATTTAAGTCACGAGTGCGGTTTGAAAGCAAAACCTTAAGAACTTACCTCTCGAATCCTTGCTAACGCCGATATGCTTATGAGGCAATTCATGACAAGATTAAAATCAAGGATTTAATTTGCTCCTTATTAAAAAATTAAAACACAATATCCAAATATATTGCTATTAAATTTGACCACAAACCAAATATAGTCCTATTAAAGGAATAATTACACTTACCACCTTTGTAAATTGCCTAAATGATGAGGACCTTCATTGTGATTTCAAATATAAAATTAACCTCTCTGTAAGTGTTGACTTTGACCCGAATGTGTTAAATGACTATTATATCCATTGTTCTTTTATTATTTTTTAATGTAAATTGTTTGTTTCTTAATGAACAAAATAGCATTTTATTGCTTTCTAAAGACATTTTAAGTAAATATTGAACATGACATTAACAGATAAAAGTGTCAGATTTTATGATTGAGGAGGTTAATGTTAGTCAAATTTGAATTAGAGGGGTGGTCAGTGTTAGATTTGAAACTAGAAGCAGGGAAAATAAATATAATTATCCCTAAATTAAACAAAGATGTTTTTATATATATATATATATCTAATATTCTTGATTTCCTCTTTTCTTCCCAAGCGAGCATTAAAGTGGATGGATGTTGGCAGAGCCCTTCCGTCCAAGAAGGTGCACCCAACCTCCTCGTTGTCGTGGTAGCTATTAAACATGAAAAAAATAGAGGGTAAAGTGAGCAAAATACCCCGGAGTTATTTTTTTTATTTTTTATTTTTTTTATCTATATATATATATATATATATTTGGTATATAAGTGCAATATTAAGTTTAAAAAAAAGATCAAAAAAGGGTTTGAGGTCAGTGCTTGGTTACAAATTTAGTCATGTGTATTAGTGCATTGCACATGACGTTTTTAATATATAAAATTTAAAAATACCCTTTTTCTTTCAATAATGCCCTTATAAATAAGAAGAAGAAAAAAAAAGGACACTTTAGTCATTTCACATCGAATTAATTTTTAATCTTTTTAGTATTCAAGCTCTTGCTCCCTCAAAAATTGAATATTAAGAATTTTTTCAAAATGATTGGGGATTATAGTGTTATACACTTTATACCATATAGGTGTTTTTTGCTCCCCAAAAATAAAAAATCAAAGCAGACAGGTTGGATGCGGTTTGACGCCCGTTTATGAGCTGGTTTATGCGGATTGTCATTGGACCTGGTCCATTTCTTTTTCCCGTATTTGTGCTCGCGCTAAAACCCAAGTTTTTAAAATTCCAAGTTTTATTTTGGTAGCACTTCTTCTTGTCCAAGTCATTTATTTAATTTTGGTAGATCTTCTTCTCCAAGTCTTTTTTTGTTTTTGTTTTTGTTTTGTAGATCTTCTTCTCCAAGTCTTTTTTTTGTTTTTGTTATCGGTTGATGCTAAAACCAGTTAATTATTCTGATCAGCTCACCACTACTTGGTCAAAATCCACGCCCGTGTATTTTAATTATTTAAAATGACTAGGGTCACTAACATCGATACTAATTATGTGTTTCAGTTGAACTCCTTGAAAGATAGACTTAAAGAGAAGAAAATTGATCTCCGCTACACAAAGGAAGCTATTGATGTTATAGCAAAATTGGGATTTGACCCGGATTTCGGAGCCAGGCCTGTGAAAAGGGTGATACAACACATGGTTGCGAAAGAAATTGCAATGAGGGTATTCAGATGTGATTTTAAGGAAGAAGACTCGATTCTTATTGATGCTGACATGTCCCCATTAGCCAATGACCTTCCTCCCAATAACAGATTGCTTATCAAGAAATTGGATGTTGGAATGGCAGGACAACATGCAGTGAGATGTCTCTAGTGTTTTTAAATGCTACGTTATTTATGTAGGCTTTTGCTTTCAGGTAACTTTGGCGGGAAAATTATCTAGTTATATTTTTGTACCTTAATGACAATTAAGTCCTGTAAAAAATTTATTAGGACAAATGAGTCCTACTTTTGAGATCTATTTCTAATAAAGTTCTATAAAAGTTATAAAACTTGTTTTACCCTTTTCAGTCATGAGTTGGGGACTTCTTCCTTTTTGATTATCGTACATCAGTAATGAGA